AGTAATCTCCTTTGTATGTGATAGGTACATCTGAACTTAACTAAGGCAATTATTGCATCCTCAGTTCCATAAGATAGAACATTATTGGTAGCATGATACACAGTTGGATGACAGTAGTGAGTGATTTTGAATATGGACTTCTAGGTAGGTACTTGGCTTCAAATCCTGGAGTTTCCATTGCTGTCTGGACCAATTGCTTTACCACTTTGTCTGCTTTAGTTACCCCAAAATGGGCTATTTTGGACATGAAATAAGATGAATATAATATTTAATAAATAATGAAGTGTTTAGGACAGTGCTTGACATGTGGAAGATGACGTGTGGTAATTATCATTATTAGCAATAATTATGAGAATTATGGCTATTAGGTTGTTGAGTGACGGTACACAAAGCTAACAACTGGTAATGACTGTGGTGACTCCTACATCATTGGTTAGCATCCAGAAGTCCCACGACTTTTCTATACCCTCTCTACTTACCCACATTTGGAAGTCCAATGAAAAGCCCTGCATTTATTCTCACTCAGTATTGTTTAAGATGTCTACTAGAGAAGGTGGGGTAGCTGTCTCTACTGCTGTGGTCTGTTGAATAGCTTTGCCCAGGGGCTTGGGTAAAGTATCAGATGTTTCTCATTAAATTGGCAGGTGAGAAGAAGTAGAGTAAGGGCAGATTGCTAACTGGGCAAAGAAATCCCGTCAAGCTAGAATGAGTCAAATCTAGAAACAGTGCTGATGTCTCCGAGGACAAAATCATCTTAAAATTTATCCTTAGAGCTAGAGAGATGGCTCAGCAGTTAAGAGCGCTCGTGGCCGTTGCAAAGGATCTGAGTTTGATTCTCAGCACCTACATGGCCACTCAGAACCATATCTGTAACTCCATTTCCAGGGGATCTGATGCCCTTTCTGGCTTCCTTGGGCACCAAGCACATTCATGGTACATATACACACATTCAGGCAAACATACATGCAAAACAAAAATAGATACATTTTTTAAAAAGAAATAAATTGATCTAGATTGGTGTTAGTTTTCTTTTATACTATTTATATTTTAAGACTCTTCATAACAACTGCCCCTAGTTCTGTGATTGTATTGTCAATCATTGACTGGTTTTGGACCCTGTCACTCTTTGTGGTACTGGGAAATGAACGAAGGCCTCCTGCCTGCTAAGTGCGTGTTCTGCTTCTGAGCAACACTCCCGACCACTTTCCTTCTTGACACTGTTTATTCTGGTCTGATTCACTGACTGGAGTATTTTCTCAGCTCTTCTTTTTTTAGAAAAGAAATGTCAGTGGTGCAATTCCTGAAATCAACCGTATTCTGAACTATCATTTCATTGCTTAGCCAGAGCGTGATGTTTTGTTCCCTTTCTTAGAACTCCAAATGTTACTCAGTTGCTGGGAAGCCCAGTGTTCCAGACGGGAAGTCCTAGGTCAGGTCAAATGATTCCTCACTGGTTCCCATTCCTTTTCTCAGTAGGTTTCTTATTCTCTTATTTATGGATTTCAGAATGGCTTTCATGTTTTGTTTTCCTTTTCTTTTAACAACTACCACTTGCATAATAACCCCCCCCCCATGATTGTGTGCTTATTATTTGTTTCTGATGATCCACCCCAAGGCCGTGTATATTCTTGTCTGCTTGTCTGTCCTTCCCTCCCTCCCTCCCTCCTAGGCTGGATATGAATCTGTAGCCAAAGCTGGCCTGAAACTTACTAAGTAGCCCAGGCTAGCCTTGAACTGGTGGTAAGTCACCTGCCTCAGCTCTCCAAGTGCTGGGATTACATACATGGTTTCCTCTTTCTTAAAACTGGCTGCTTCATTAAGTGTCCTAAAATGTGCTGGCCCACTTAAACTGTACAGTCCACTGTGGTTACTATATTCATAGAATCCCACAGTATCCCCACTGAGTTTTGAAGATCTTTCATCTTCCCAACAAAGCCCATTGTGTTCCCACTTCCTACTGACTAAGGCAACTGGAAACCACTTTTGTCTCTGTAGTTTGCCTCTTCTGGAGACTGCTTTTGAACATGGTCATGGTACTGTTCCTTTATCCTGGGGTTTTGAAGTAGTTCTGGTACTTGTATCAAAGACTGCCTTCCTCACCAGCTACATGCTTGTATTTCTTCCTGGATGTGGGGATAGGGTTGCAGTAGGTGCCCTGTACCCGAGGCAGGGAAAGATTGAAACTGGGCCCAGGAGACTGGGTAAGGGAGTTTCAAAGAGCCAGCAGGAAGAGTGTGGTCAGCACTCCTGAGCCCTGATGGCCAGTGTGCTGTGTTGTCCCCAGGAGAATGGCTTTTGTCTGCTTCGTTCATGCTTGCGACCATAAAACTGCTTGGATTGGGATGTGTGGGCTGGGGTGCTTTTCCCTTCACTTTGAGATGAACTCTTACCCAGTCTCTCCTTATTTTCTTCAGTTTCTCTTCAACAGTTGTGTCTTTTTCATCTGTCTCTGTAAGATTTTGCTCTTTATCGCATCATTTCTGCCTCACACCAACTTTTCCACTGTGTCTTGGGAGGATTCCTCAGGATGGGATTTGCAAACCTGTTTTTCAGCAGTGGCCTCTCTATTGCTTAATGCCTTTTTGAGGTTTTTATTTTTGGCATTCACATTTTGTTTATTGGGATTTCATTGTATTCCTAGAAATTCCCCTTTGAAAATTGATATATTATTTTCTTAATGACACTTATTTGAGCTCTTCATGTGTTCAGGGAACTTTGATTGTTTATTGCTGCCACCCAAAGATCCCCTTGAGTTTAGTGGCTTTAAAGAGCAATTTGTGGGCTGAGGAAAATGTTCCCTGGGTGAAAACTGAAGTTCAGATCTCCAGATCCATGTAAAGCCAGATGTGGTAACACACAGTAGCTCCAAAGTAGCTCTCTCATAATGAGATGGGAGGTGGAGACAGATGGATCCCTGCAGGCTTCTGAGCCAGCTAGTGTGGTGTATGCAGCACTGGACAGCAGAGAGACACTGCCCCCAATAAGGTGGAAGGTAAGGATGGCTATCTGAGGTTGTTCTCTGTCCCACCTGCATGCCGTAGTACTCAGACACATGAACAGGTACACACACACACACACACTGAACAATTTGATATTTCCCACAATTTCTGGTTTGATCATATGATTCTTTTTGTATCTGTTATGGACTGAGTGACTGTGCAGACACTGAACTAGTGATTTAGATGGCAGACTAAAGGAGGCCTCTCATATATTAAACATCCATACTGACAAATGGTTGGGTCACTTTAGTTCTCCATGTGGCTTCTCTATTCCCATGGTAGTTCCTCTAGGGATTTTTCTTGAAGCCTCTCCTAAGCACAATAGTTTAGACTTTCTTACAGCATAGCTACAGAATTCCAAGAAAAAGAAAAAGGAAGCTGCTAGGTTTCTTATAGACCACATGTGGTGGTTTCAAAGAAAATAGTGCCCCCCCCCCCCCCGGGAGGAGAGTGGCACTAATGGGAGGTGTGGCCTTGTTGGAGTAGGTGTGGTCTTGTCGCTGAGGTCATGGTGTCTCTTCACAGCATTAGAAACCTTAAGATACCATGTTAATAGGCTCCATGTTCCTCTGCTCTATTCTGTCGACCAAAGCAAGTCTTGAGACATGTCTAGAAAATTAGTCTATTTTTTATGTATATATGTGGATATGTGTGAATATATGCCACATGTGTGCAGATACCTCTGGAGGCCAGAAGAGGGCATTGAATTCCCTGGAGATGGAACTTAAAGGCAGTCGTGCATGGCCCAGTATGGGTGCTGGGAACCTAACTCAAGGTCTCACAAAGAGAAAAAAGGGTGCTAACCACTGAGCTATGTCTCCAGCTCTACTCCCCACTTCTTTTAATGTCAGGGATCAAACTCCATTCCAACCCTGAAAAATAACAGTAAGAAAGAAAGGGAGGAATCAGTGACTCCATATGTACACACACACACACACACACACACACACACACACACACACACACACACACACACAATGTCTATGGGCTAGAAAGCCATGCTTATCTGTTCCTAGCATTATTAAAAACTCTTCAGTAACTTGTTTTGTACCCAGGACTTCAATTTAGACCTTTTGTTTCCTTAGTTTAGATCTTTTAAAAACTAATTTATTTATTTTTGTTTCATGTACATTGATTTGCCTGTATGAGGGTATTAGATCCCTTGGAACTGGAGTTACAGACAGTTGTGAGCTGCCATGTGGGTGCTGGGAATTCAAACCGGGTCCTCTGGAAGAGCAGGCAGTGCTCTTAACCCTGAGCCATCTCTCCAGCCCCCAGTGTAGATCTTTTATTTGATTTATTATTAATGTTTGCAGCTTTGGACATCAAATCCAGGGCCTTGTGCATGCCAGGCAAGTATCCCACTACTTTGTAAACAAATTTTGAAGCAGGATCTTACTATGTACCCTTGTCTGACCTAGAACTCACTATGTAGACCAAGCTGGCCTCAAGTGCATAGATCCATATGCCTCTGCCTCCTGAGTGCTGGGGTTAAAGGTGTGCGACACTATGTTTGGATTTTAAAAATTTACTTATTTTTATGTGTGTGTGTGTGTGTGTGTGTGTGTGTGTGTCTGTATCTATGTGCACCATGTATGTGTAGTGCCCCCAGAAGCCAGACAAGAGTATCCTTGGGTCCCCTGGAACTAGTTACAACATTTGTGAGCCACCTGATGTGGGTGCTAGGACCTGAACCCAGGTCCTCTGCTAGAGCCACAAGCATTCTTAACCACTTCCTAGTCTCTCCAGCCTTTGCTTTTTTTTTTTTTTTTTTAAGACAGAGTCTCTAATTCTAGCTGGTCTCAAATTTCCCATGCTTTCAGTATGTTTGGTATGAAGAATTTACACAAAGAATCTATAAGGAGCAAAATAAAATTACAATACAGTGTCAAACAAGTGGGGTTGATGGACAATGTGAAAAGTGACTGCTACAAAGAAGAAAAGTCTTTCCTTCTTCCCTGTTTTTCTTCCCTCTTTTTCTATTTTGGGATTGGTCTCAAGACATAGATGAGTGTGAAGTTTCTGGCCTGTGCCTGCGTGGAGGTCAGTGTGTCAATACTCCTGGGAGCTTTGAATGCTACTGCATGGAAGGATACTTGGCAAAGAACGGTCCTGAGCCTTTCCACCCAAGCACGGATGACACCTCCTGCACAGGTAGGCGTCTGCCAGAGAGGCAGCATCTGAAGGTGAGTTTTGGTGGACATTATTTTCTGGTGTTCAGATGTTTATAGATCTGCATTGGAGACATGAGTAGACATTATCTTCCCATACTTTTATGAGATAAATGACCTAATCAAGATAGAGTCATGATTAAAAAACAAAACAAAACAAAACAAACCTAAATAGCTAACTTCAAGGGTTAATAAACTTTAGCAATTCATAAATATTTTGTTATTAACTCTTGCCTGTTAGGTCTGGTAAGAGCCTAGCATCTCAAAAGTGACTTTGGAAATGAAGAAAGTGCACCTAAATGAAGGGAGTTTGCAATCAGATTTCTGTTTTACTGGGCAAGGCGTCTTCTCATTAGTGAACGAACATGAGTTAGGGATGACTGCTAATTCTTTCTGTTTTGTGTATGTGTGGATGCTCTTGTGTATGGAGGGACAGAGGAGCAATTAGGAAAATCATTGGAAATTACTCAGAAGCCTCATGAAAATGAATCAGCATTCTTCTTAAAATAGGGCCTGGGGTGTGAGGCACCGGATATGGGTGGAGAGATAGTGGATTCTGAAAACTTGAATTCATAAAGTAAAGAAGTTGACATTTTTTTTTTTCTAGAAATAGACTGTGGCAACCCTCCCGAAGTCCCTGGTGGCTACATCATCACAGGAAATTACAGCTCCACGCTGGGTGGTCAGGTCCATTACAGCTGCAAAGAAGGGTTTCTCAGGATCTCGGGAGGTGGAGTTTCACGCTGCACGGCCCTGGGCATGTGGGAATCTCCAAAGTTGCAGTGCCAAGGTGAGTTTTCAAAAAGCTTAGTTAGTCTCCTTGTTACAGTGTCCCGAGGTTGCTTTTTTCAGTTTCCCTTTGGGATAGTAAATGCGTTTAATACATCCAACATGTTTTTGTTTCTGGTGGGTTTCTATTTGGTTCTCTAGTATATTCAGGGTCTGTATCTTGTCTGTAAACAACAGCTCTACTTTTTGTTCTTCTGCATTTATAATATTTTATTTTTCTATTACAGGGTCTTCACTAGTGTTTTCAGAAAGAAAACCTAAATAGCTGGATTAACAGCTATTTTTTATGTTTTAATCTTATTTCTGACTTGTATGGAAATGATTTTGGTGTTTCAAAATGATTTCAGCTTTGTTTTGTTTTGTTTTTTGTTTTTCAAGATAGGGTTTCTCTGTGTAGCTTTGGAGCCTATCCTGGCACTCGATCTGGAGACCAGGCTGGCCTCGAAACTCACAGAGATCCACCGCCTCTGCCTCCTGAGTGCTGGGATTAAAGGCATGCGTCACCAACGCCCGGCTGATTTCAGCTTTTTTAAAAATTGTAAAACTACCATTTTTTATTTATGTATGTATATGTAAATATGAGTGTACATGTGTGTACGTGTGTGTGCACGAATGTGTGCATGAACACATAGGACAATGTGTGTGTAGAGGTCAGAAGACAACGTGATAGAGTCCGTTTTCTGCTTCCCATCATGTGAGCCCCAGGGATCCAGCTGATGTCATCAGACTTGGAAATAAGTGCCTTTACCCACTGAGCCATGTCACTGGCATGATCTCAGCTTTTTGCTGTGTGTGTATCTATTTATGCACTGTATGTAGCACTGTGTGCCAAGTACATTCTAAGCCAATAAATTGACTCATTTAGTCTTTAGAAGATCAATGTGAACCGATGAGAAGGCTGCCCTCTCCAGGCATCAAGAGGTTAAATTGCTTAAGGTCACACTGTTATAGTGAGGGGAACCTTGGCAGATACTATGGCAGGGGAGGGGGACCAAGGCAGGGGGCAAACAAGCCAGGCAGACAGAGCTTAGTGAGAAGTTTTATTAGAAAGGGGAGAGACAGGGAAGGAAAGAGAAAAGAGGTAAAGAGACACAGAGACAGAGAGAGGACAGAAGAGGGAGATAGGAAAAGTCCTGTCTGCCCCACGGGAACAGTAGGAAAGAGGCAGGGAGTAAGTGGGCAGGATTTTTTTTTAAAGGGGTCCTTTATACTTTCCTGCAGACTATACAGCCATGGAACCCTGGGCTGACCATGGTCCTGCCTGAGTGCATTCTGCCAGGTGACAGGGGCAGCCCAGCATAACACCTGAACACACACACACACACACACACACACACACACACACACACCAGGGCTGGAACTGGCAGTAGAAGCCAGAGATGCCAGTTTCAGAGACTGTGTTTCAGTCACTGTTATTTGCTTTTTTGTTTACTATTGTGATTATTTTTGTACTTTTTACTTCTTCTATCTCCAGTGATTTCCATTTTAACAGTTCTTGGGTTTCTGTATAATTTTAAGGAAGTGTCCATCCATGTTCATTTTGCTATTTTTTTTAACCAGACACTAACTATTTTTATCTTTTAAGCATGTAGGAAGATGACTATATACATTTTCTTGTAATCAGTAATGTGAGTTTACTAATACATTTTCTGATAATGATTAGTCTTGTTAGGAAGAATTATTTTGAGGCTTTGGCTTCTTATTATTTTAACCAGGATCGTATTTGCTAAATATTACTTAGACTTCTTCACTGATACTCAAAGGGTGCCATTTTTGTTATATTTAGTATCAATGACATTCTGAATTTAAAAATACCAAAGCATTTTTCCCTTGCTCTGTAGAATTTTTAAAGATTTGGGAGATTTCATTTGGAAAGCCATCTGGATGTGACACTTTGGGACACGTTTTAGCCCCTGAAGTATTTTAAAAAACTCAAATCCAAAGGATCATCTCTATGAGCAGCAATCCCAAGTGATCTTCATATCTTTTTGAAATTTATTTTTATTTTATGTACATTGGCGTTTTGCCATGGGTGTCAGGTCCCCTGGAACTGGAGTTAACAGACAGTTGGGAGCTGCCAGGTGGGTGCTGGGAATTGAACCCAGATCCTCTGGAAGAACAGTCAGTGCTCTTAACCACTGAGCTTTCTCTCCAGCCCATGATGTTTATTTCTTTTCTTTTTTTTCTTTTTTTTTTTTTTTTTTTGGTTTTTCCAGACAGGGTTTCTCTGTGTAGCTTTAGAGCCTATCCTGGCACTCACTCTGGAGACCAGGCTGGCCTTGAACTCACTTGAGATCCACCTGCCTCTGCCTCCCAAGTGCTGGGATTAAAGTCGTGCACCACCAATGCCCTGCCATGATGTTTATTTCTTAAATACTTTCTAGACTGAAGGGACATTTGATGTACCAAAAAAAGGTAATGTCATAGTTAAAATCAACTGCCCAATGACAGGATCTTGAGTCATCAAGGAGACAACATGCTGGTTGTATCTGTGAGGGATTTTCCTAGGTTAGGATAATTGAAGTGAGAGGACTCTCCTTAACTCTGGGGAGCACATTCCATAGGCTGGGGTCTTGGGCTGTATAAAAAGGAGAGGACTCACTGAGCACAAACATCCATTACTCTTTCTTTCCTGGCTATGGATACAGTGTGAGCAGCTGGCCCCTTTCTCCTGATGTCATGCCTTCTCCTGGATATGTTGTACCCCTTTAACTGAGAGACAAAATAAACCCTCTACCCCTTTAACTGAGAGACAAAATAAACCCTCTCTTTCTTTAAGTGGCTTTTGTTACATTTTTTTTTTATCACAAAAGTTATCTAATATAGCAATGATGGAAAAGGGAGATCTCAATTTTCATTAAATTTATTGCACAGCTAAGAAGTAGTGTTGTATATGACTAGGTTAATCTTGCTGCTGTTCTACTTATTGGAGTTTTAAACACATGTAGATATTTTATTACCATCCTCAGAGTTAAGAAGTTATAAGGGGCCCAGGTGGCGGGGGCACCTGCCTTTGATCCCAGCATTCAGAAGGCAGAGGCAGGGGGATCTCAGTGAGTTCAAGGCCAGCCTGATCTACAGAGTGAGTTCCAAAACAGCCAGGACCCTGTCTTGAAAAACAAGAACAAGAACAAGAACAAGAACAAAAAAGAAGTTGTAGGGGTACGTTTTAGTTATCAGGTTATCTTTTAATGGATCAATTAAGATAGAATGCTTAGAATAAAATGTACTTTGGCAATAAAGGAAGCAATAGTTGAGGTAAGGGAAGCTACAGAATGAGGATTTACAGATGATTTGCAGAAAGAGTTATTTACAAATTATTCACCTAACAAGGGGCTAATATCTATATATAAGGAACTTGAAACACTCAGTAGAAAAAATAATTGAGTTAAAGAACAGGCAGATTGGGGCTGGAGAGATGGCTCAGCAGTTAGGAGCATGAGCTGTTCTTACAAAGGGCCTGAATTCAATTCCCAGCATCCACGTGAAGTGGCTCACAATAGCCTACAACTCTAGCTCCAGGGAAGCTCACAACATTGTTCCTTGTAGATACTTGCACAGACACATACCCATATACATAATTATAATAATACAATACATGTTTTTAAAAGAGCAGGCAAACGATCTGAATAGACCTTTCTCAAAAGAGTGTATGTAGCTGTATGGAAAAAGCTCAATTTCACTAATTATCAGAGAAATGCAAACCAATTTCCACAGTCATGCCATCTTATCCCATTAACTGGCAATTATCTAAAAGACAAAAAAAAAAAAAAATGCGGGGAGGGTGAGGAAGATGAGAACTCTTGATGGGAATGTAAATTAGTGCGACACTATAGAAAACACTTAGGAGATTCCTCAAACACTACAGGTAGAACTGCCACATGGGCTAGCTATCCCACTACTGGCAATACATTCAAAGGAAATGAAATCAGTGAATCAAAGAGACACCTGCACGTGCATTCATTCCTAACACTGCGCTGCTCCTGACAAATAGTCAAGATGTAATCAGTCCTGGTGTCATCAGTAAATGAAAGTTTTATGTAGTCATAAATACGGTGGACTATTAATGCAGTCTTAAGAAGATGGGAATCTCATCATTTGTACCAGCATGAATAGGACAGGAGGAGGTTGTTAAAGGAAATGAACCAGACACAGAAAACCAAACACTACATGATCTCACATATTGAATCTGAAAAGTTGATCTCAGGCCAGTGAGATGGCTCGGCAGGTAAAGATGATGACTTCTGAGCCAGACAACCTGAGTTTGACTCCCAAGGCCCACATGGTGGAAGGAGAGAGCCTACTCCTGTAAGTAGTCTTCTGACTACCACATGGTGTCATGACAGACACCTACATACCTACACGCACAAACACACACACATCTCAACACACACACACACCCACACACACACACACACACACACACACACACACACACACACACACACACACACACATATATTCACACACACACACACACACACCTATATACATACACACTAAAAGCCTTAACATAAAAAAGTTTAAGATTAAGCCAGGTATGGTGACACATGCCTTTAAACCCAGCAGATCCAGGAGGATCTTTGTGAGTTTGAGACCAACCTGGTCTACATAGTGAGGTACAGGGCAGCCAGGGCGATGTAAAGAGATCCTGTTGCAAAACAAACAAACAAGCAAAGCTCAGTATTAAAACAACTTAAAGCTCATCTCCTAGAAGTAGAAATTAACAGTGGTTATCAGAGATTGGGGAGTGTTCTAGAAGTTCCACGGGATACCATCTACCCTGTTCTTTGAAGCAGGGCCTCTCACTTTTGTTGCTTTAAAAATACTTATTTTGTTTTTTAAAAAGTATAATATTGCAATTAATTCTTTGAGAATTTTATGCAATGCATTAATCATACTCACCTCCCCACTCCTTTTCCTAACTCCACCTGGGTCCACCCCTTCCCTCCCCACCCCTTTCTGATTTCATGTCCTCCTTTTAAAAATAAGTCACTGAAT